TTAAAGATACAGTGACTGGGCAAAGGTTCCTGGGGCACAGGGGAGGGGACGGAGTGGGAGGTGAGCAGGGAGCCAACAATGAGGCATACACGGGAATAGTAAGTGTCTAAAACTGATGTCGAGGAGGGTGTAGCTTTTCTGGTTTTGTTTGATCATCAAGTTGTCTCAGAGAGGAATTACTGAGAGGTGAACAATGGGTAAGCATGATAGTGGGGCAGAAGGAAAAAGAGGAAAGAAGAAAACAATATATAATTGTGTGTATATGTGTATATATGCAAATGCAACAAGGAAGCAGATGGTCTTAGAGCATCACTTAAATCATACCTCAGTATAAGAGTGTTATGTTCTAATAATGTGGCATGTTATGATACTCACCTTCCTGACACCATCACTGATGAAAAATGGGTGCATAAGCAAATCTGGTGAAGAAAACTGTTGGTGCCTTAAACTGTAGTCTTAAAGACTTGTAATTCAACAGCTATCTACCAAGTCTACTGGAAGAACACATCATTCTGTGTGATCATGAGGTGTTTATGGGAAGAGTTATCAGAAGTTCAAAAATAAGCTACCAAATCTATGTGAAGGGGTGAGGATGCAGTAGAGACCCAAAATCTACCTGTAAGATAATTGGACAGTCCCTTTCAAAAGAGCCACAGGAAAAGGATGATAAATCCAGGGTGCGGCACATTACTGATGAACCAGATAACTCTCCCCTAGTTCTTTAATATTTACTCCCCTTACTATTTTGTTTTTTTATTTCTTTTGCCACATGAATCATGTAAGATTTGTGTATGTACTCTTGCATATTTAAGACTGTTCACTACATAAAAACCAAGAGAGACAACCCTTCAGAAACAGTAACAGGAGCAATGGTTCCCTGAGGATTATGGGAAGCGAAAGGGAGAAGGGGACAATATGGAGCTGATAAGTCTGTATAACCCCACTAGATGGGATCAAACAACAGAATAATATTTGAATGGATATACTGGATTATGTAAGATATAGCAAAAAAAAAAACCATTTTAGGAGAAAAATAATAATAAGGGTTCCTGGAGGGTAGGGTGGCTGAGGGAGGGGATAAGTAGAACTAAGACCAGGGAGTTCAAGAAGAAAGAAAATGTTTTGAAGCTGATTGCAGTAGGAATTGTACAATACTGCTTGATGTGATTGAACTATGGAATGTTATGATATTTGTAAGAGCTCCCAATAAAAAATATTTAAGTTCAAAAAATGATTTAAAAATATTTTGAATTACAATGAGTCTTCCACTTACATGTAATGTATTTAGTCTATGAGTGAAGATGAATACTAGAAATTAGATTTTTATAAAACCATCCTAACACATCCTCTTTATAGATGGGACAAAATTTAGACAGACTATTCTCAACTTGTGTAATTTGTTCTGGGTCCCACCAATAAAGAATAGTGCTGAGAGCATCTTTCTATGCTGTTTCCACTCTGGTTAGTGCCTACAATATATATTCAAGTTCCATTGCCTTCCACATTTGTAAAAAAAAAAAATGAAGATGCTCTCACATATGTAATTCCATCATTTCAGGATGTAGCATATGACAAGGACCAATGGTACTACAGGAAGAATTCCAAGCTGCATTGAAAGCACTAGCCCCAAACAAGACTCCAGGAATTAATGGGACTTCAAAAGAAATGTCTCAACAAACTGATGGAGCACTGGAAGCAGTTACTCCTCTAGTCCAGGAGATTTGGAAGTCAGTTACTTGGCCAACTGATTGGAAGAGATCCATACTTATACCTCTTCCAAAGAAAGGTTATCCCATACAATGTTCAAATTATAGAATAATATAATCAACATCATATGCAAGTAAAACTTTGCTGAAAATCATCCAGAAAACTTTGTAGCAGTACATTGACAGGGAGATTTCAAGGTTCAAGCCAGACTCAGAAGAGGAATTGAAGCAAGGGACTTGTCAAATTAATTGTCAAGTTGATTGTCAAATGAATCCTGGCTGAAAGCCAAAAATACCAGAGAGATGTTGTGTTAGACTGGGTTAACTAGAAAAACAAACTCAGAGACACTCATATATATGCAAGAGAGAACTTTATATCAAAGAGCAATGGTATATTGAGAAAACATCCCAGCCCAGTCCAGAACAGGTCCATAAGTCCGATATTAGCCCATATGTCCAATACTAGTCCACAGATTCCTCTGTAGACTAATGATGCCACTCACAATGGTGCTGAATGCAGGATGATCACAGGCCAGTGGGTGAAAAGGCTTGGGGATCCAGTGGCAGTGGTACTATCACAAGCTGTGTCTGCAGGTTTCTTCAGCTGCATAGCTTGTCAGAGAGATAGATAGATAGATAGATAGATAGATAGAGAGAGAGAGAGAGAGAGAGAGAGAGAGAGAGAGAGAGAGAGAGAGAGAGAGAGACCCACCTCTCCTGATGGCAGAATCAAAAGAGGAAGTTCCCAGAAGGCTCATGAGAAGGCCATGCCCACAAAGAAACAACATCAGCGACCTGTAACCTGATTGACAGGCTAGACTCCACCCCTATACTTATTTATCAAGTTGACATGAAATTATTTAACTACCACAGATGTTTACTGGTGTTTCATTGACTCTGCCAAGGAAATCAACTGAATCATAGCAAACTGTGGATAATTTCGATAAGAATGGAAATTCAAGAATATTTAATTGTGCTCATGTGGAACTTATATATGAATCAAGAGGCAGTTGTATGAACAGAAAAGGGGAATACTGCATGGTTTGAAATCAAGAAAGTTGTGGAACAAGGTTGTGTCCTTTGACCATACTTGCTCAATCCATATGCTGAGTAAATCATCAGAGAAGCTGGATGACATGAAAAAGAATGTGACATCGGGATTAGAGGAAGTAAATAAAGAAACAGATATGCAGGTGACACACGTTGCTTGCTGAAAGCTAGGAGGCCTGCAAACACTCGAAGAAGATCAGGTTTTGTAGCGGTCAGTGTGAATCACAACTCAATGTCAAGGAGACAGAAATCCCAATGGACCAATTAGTAACATCATTATAAATGGAGAAGGATTTGGTCTTGCTTGGATCCACAATCAATTCTCATGGAAATAACAGTCACGAGATCAGAAGATTCATTTCACTGAGTAATCTGCACAAGGGCTCTTTAGATTGTTGAGAACTAAGAATGTTACTTTGGGAACTCAGGTGCCCCTGACTCAAGTTATGGTATTTCACCCTATTTCATATGCATGTGAGAGCTGAACATTGAATAATGCAGACAAAAAGAATAATAGATATACTCAAGAATATTGAATATACCATGGATTGCTAAAAGTACAAACTGAACGATCTTAGAAGAAGTATGGC